CAATGTTTAACCTTATTATACATAAAGCTCTGTTCAATATACAGAGTTATGGGAAATTAAACCGGATCCTTTTAAGGGGTCGTAGGGGAGGTCATTTACGATTATTTTCACCTCACATTATGTATCCGAAAGTTAGCCATTTTAGTGACAAATTGTATTTTTTTTCTTTAAAAAGTGGAAAGAAATTAAATAGTGGTCAGAATCTAATTTAGTTGTAAGTTTTGGAGAGATAACATTCCAGTTCGTGACAAATAATAATAAAACTCAAATAATCTTGAGTTTTTTTATTATTATCTAAACAGAAACTGCAGAGCTTTAAATAAAAAAAAATGTTGTAGTAAATTTGCAAACAAAAGTACATTTAAAAAAATAACTTTCGGATACACAATATGGGGCGAAAATAATTATACAACCTCTTAAAAGGATCCGGTCTAATTACCCATAACCCTGTATATGAGTTAAGTAAGAAAGTTAATACTGTACTTCTAGTTCACTTAAAATTAAAATGAATTTAAAACGATATTTAAATTTGGCAAGATAAAGATTAGGTTATAAATTACATAGCAAATAATTTTACATAGCAATATCTGTTTCAGTATCGTTATTGATATTGGGTATGTCCACATAATCAATGACCTCCCAGTTATTTTCAGGCTCTTCAGGCACGTAAGGAGGGAAGGCAGAGCGGAATATCGGCACTCCTTCTTTGCTCAACGATAGGTAGTTCCTGATAGCTTCTGATGCAACGTCGTCTTCTGGTAAAGCACCGGATCTAGCATTGAAAGGTCCTCCAATGTCTTCACTCGGCAATTCCCACAAGTTCCACTGCGCTGTCATTTTGAAATTCTGTGAAGATAGCGGATTATTACTATATTGTAATTTCTGATGGATATTTTTTGATGAATGATGATGTGTGACGAATTGTAATTTCCAATCTTAATAAATTAAACCGCCAATCAGGATTACATTTTGCAGGCCCTTCACCCAAAAAGGAGAGGGTGCACGGATTACATTTAGTGGGTATACCATCCGCATTTTGACTAGCTTTCGGGCGGAGCCGTGCGAATGGAGAGTCCTACACACCCCCTGCTGCCTATCAAACGGCGGGAACAGTGCAAAAAGCATTCTCCTATGTAAAAAAAGCCAATATTGGCCTCATGTAAATGGAGACAATGAATTAATGAAATATTCTTTATTGTACATACACCATACCGTCAAAAATTTACAGTTACAATTTAAAAATCAGTCCAAATAAAGATAATACAAACCTCTGGTAAGCAATGGTGCTGCATGCAATAGTAGTCCTGTTCGCCGTCGTGATGGCACCAGGTACCGTCTGGGAAGTATGGGTCGAGGCCCGCGTTGTTGACCTCCACGCGCGGCGCGTAGAACCCCCCGCCCGACGTGCGGCGACAGAACACCGCGCACCCCATCCACATGCGGGCTAAATTATTTTCACGGTTATAAGCCGTCATTATACCTATACAGTGCTAGCTGTTCGCCAGCGGCTACACCCTAGGGATCTTATTATTTGGATATCAAGTAATATCATGAAAGGGATGTGTGCTATTTTTCGGTATAAAATACCTATGTTCACCGCGTATGATGAAGCTTCCCGTATGTGAAAGTATTTTTTAAATCGGTCCAGTAGTTTCGGAACCTATTCGTTGCAAACAAACAAACAATAAAATATTTTCTTGTTATAATATTCGTACAGACGTATGATCCAGACGATTTTTGACAGTCTGCCCTCCATCCCCGTTTTTTTTTTGTAATCTCATGTAAGAAATGTAAAGATTCCCTCCCTCCATCCGTAAAAAAATAAGACATCGTCGACCCAAAACCCCGTCAATAACTGATTTTTGTTCACTCTTCTCTAATCGACATATCCCCAATAGTAAAAAGTCTATTAAGGTATTAGAGAATTACGTTCCTGACATTTTTTGTGTGTACAGACAGTGGAAAACAACTTTGTTTTAGGGGCTTCTAGATGGGCAATATTATTCGGCAATTAGTGGCGCTTCTAAACAAGCAATATTATTCGTCAATTAGTCGCTACAACATAGTGATCAGCCAGGTTGTGTAAATATTGCAGTTATATCCCGGCGATATAGCCTCGTTTCGGTATAGCCGATATTGTTTTGTAAAGTTGCCGGACGACCAAAAATTATTTCTGCGATAGGGAGCCAATATTGCAAACTATAATTGGCAAAAGCATTGGCCATTTATAAAAAACTTTCGTATGCATATACAGTTTTCTATTTCAAGAATCAAGATTTCCTGAGGCAGGTCCTCTCGCGTCGGTCGCAGGTCGATGAAATACTGAATGATAATGCCATTAATGCGAAAAGCATGTGCGACGACTTAGAGACGTTCATCTAATTACGTATTTATATTTGAATCTATTGTGGGGTCATTGATCACACTCACTGGGATCATGCGGCGCCTGCAGTCCTCCGCCGCGCGCGTCCAGCTCGGGCAGCAGGCGCGCGTACTCTCCGCACCGACGCGCCGCCACCTCACTCGCACTCACGCGCCTTTTCTTACCGCACACCTGGAACATTATAACATTACAGCTGGAACATTATAAAACTTCATTACACGGCTAAGGGTAAAACTATCTGACAACACATTACATACCATTAACACGAGGCTAGTAGCCGAGGCAGTGCAGTATGCTAATTCTGCTAATGTTTACGTAATAATAGCATCTCTAAAGAATCTCAACGAGTTGCATTTTGCCATTGTACTATTTACCTCAAGTTCAATATTATTAGTGCAATGTCTTCCTCACCACAAATCAATGGTGACAGCTTATTTTGTAAATAATTAGCAGAATTGACCTGCACTAGGCCAGGGCAATATTGACCTCGTGTAAATAGAGACAATACTCAATACAGTTACCAAGCCAGACCAAAGAAATAGAGTGATTGTTAATTTTATTGACTATTGGTCTCGTGGCGGCGCGGCGTACTATCATCTGCTATCTTTTACTCTAGTAAATGGCTGATCTGAATAACATAAAAGAGCCCACACTCCGTCCATTTTTTACCAAATAGTCTTAGGTAATAAATGGATTGCGCCAATGGACCAACTGTTTCTAAAAATTAGAAACACTGGCGTTTATAGACCATTGACATGAGGCCAATAGCCAAGACAATAGATTAAACCAGTACTGTAAACATTTGAAACTTTCTATGTCATTGGTCTGGCTTGAGGATTGTCTCCATTTACCCGGGCCAATACTGGACTGGCTAAACCGGAAAATTCACCTCACTACATGCCTGCCAGATCTCGTTATTATAGGTCTATGTAGTGACAGTGACGGTCCAACACTATCCAGACATGCCCGTCCTATAATAAACGAAGTCTTATAATTCTTAGTTTAATTATTTCTGCTGACTTACCCACGGACATGCCCGTCTAGTGAATTTCCCACTTAACTGGATCTCGGCAATAAGCCTCGTATAAATGGTAGCTTACTTTAGTGTCGTCGCAAAGCAGGACATCGTATGAAGCGCCGCTGCAGTGGGCGTTTGGTGCGCATGAGCGGCGCCGCTCACGGAAGCCTCGCGATCGCAACGTGCACCCGGACTGGCACGAACCTTCGCTCCACGCACCTATAGTAATAATAATATTACTTTATTTCACAAAAAAATTAAGGTTACATTCAATGAGCTTAACGTCTAACCATGTCTGACGTAGGTATAGAAAATGTGAGTTTCAGACGCCAGGGTATTGCAAAAATTGTGCTTCCCATTTGATAAATTCTTCATAATTTAAAAATCTGATTGATATAGTTTTTGAAATGGGTAACATCAGCGTGTAGTACGATATGAGATTCTATATAGATTTCAAAATTAAAAAAATATCAGTCAAGTTTTATTATTTTTAAAGAATACTAATGACGGCTGTATCAAACCGGAAATTCGATTTCCATCCACCCACTAGCTTCCTCCTCCGACTTATGACAATTTAACAAAACATGTGATTTAAATTAACATTACATACTGCGACGAGTTCGATGCTGCAAATGAATAAAATCTTGACAAAGTTTGAATAAATGATTTAATTAATGGTAACAAAAAAGGGAAGAAAAAGACAGTTCGTATGATTACGTATGATATTCGTATGATAATAATATCAAAATAGTTAAATTTAACAATTCCATATCCCTTTTCTTCGGGTTTGATCAGTAATTTAACTTTATAATAGCATTTTTCTTGAGTTCAAACTCGTGAGCATAACGAAATAATAAATAAAATTTAACACTCTACAATTAATTGTTATTGAATGAAATTAAATATGTAGAATGTGAAATAATTATTACGTAATTTGTTAATATATTAATTTGTTAATATATAACGTAATTTGAAATTTTGATTAATCCAATATGCTTTTTATGAAAAATGAAAAATTCGTAAGTTATTTCTAACTTATGTGGATTAATCAAAATTTCAAATACGAAAAGTGAATAATAAAAACAAATAATGTTGAAGATTAAAGACAAAAAGTTTGCATACGGAACCTAGGACGAAATAAACGGTGGTACGACGTACCGTTACAATATGTTTTGTAAAGCTCATGCTCATAAGCTTTTGAAAAAAGAAGAATCGGTTCAAATATTACGGAGAAATCGGTGTCCATTTACATAGACATAGAAATTAAAAGGAGACGAACATGTAACGTTTTTATACGTCTTACAAAAATTTAATTTCTCTAATCTATTACAACGTTTCATATTTACAATTAAAGTTCTCACTCACTAATCAGATTTCAAGACCAATTATAAATTGATAACATTAAAATAATTATCCTAAGATGCGTTTCTATGTGCTAAACGTTTCTATAGGCTTGATGATTTTGTGGAAGCGAACGAACGGCGGAAATCCAAATATTAGTATTCATTCACAAATATATCCTTTTACTGTTGTCGATCAAATTTACCGAGATAATCAAACTAATAAAAAAAAAGAAAAATGAATTCATTGTATGAATGCAGATTTCTCGTACACTAAAATCAAAGACAGATCTTAAGACAAGATCTTCGTATGCATTATAGTTTCTGAATTTCCTATTACAGACCGTTCTAAATTTTACACCCTGTTTTGTTTACTGAAAATAATTTTTCAAAAGTAGTAGTTTATAAATTTGGAACGTACCCCAACCGTCTGCACCAGAGCCTGACTGCGCTCCTTCAATAGTATTACCGTCCTCATTGGGTTTGACTTGCCCTTCCGTTATATTAGAATTAGAGTTCGGAACACATTCTCCTCCTTGGCACCACTGAAATTAGAAAATAACTTCTTAAGTTGGGCTTTTACAGTGAAAAAATTGTAACAGTTTAATAGAAATAAAATAAGTAATCTGGAGAAAAAAAAATATTTCCGAAAAGTACAATTTAGTTGATAACGTTCTTTTACACGATTTACATGCGATGCGTTGGACAATTAGGTGGGAAATCTCATCCATCAGGGATTTTAATAGGAATCTATATATTACGGAGCGACGGGTACTCCATCTAGTAATACTGCAGCGCGCTGATGTTTCATCTATGCGGTGCTAGATGGCGTTGATAGTTGTTTGATGAGGTTGTCGATGAAGATCTCGACGCAACTAGTAAATATATACGATGACAGGAAAGAGCAAGTCACTGGTGAAAAGCGACGGGTACGGGCACGGTTGTAGAATTTTCTGGAAATGCCTCGTATACTCCAGCCTAGAAATCCACAGTTACACTGGTCGGTGAGGTCAGCACGCAAAATGACGATGACCGCTGTACGCTTTATCATTGGTCAATAAAACAATGACCGACCAATGAAAGCGAGGAACAGAAGCAGCCCAAACGCCGCACACATTAAAGAATTATATTCTCGGAAATCAACTATTAAAGGCATTCGTTAAAAAGGTTTTCGAAATTCAGCAACACTCCTTCATAGACAACAATAGTAGTACGTATAGTAAGTACCATATGGTCGCCGCAGGGAGTGCCGGGAAGTGCTGGGCCGGCGTAGTAGAATCCAACGCGGTGCGGTGACCGGCACGCTAGCTGCGCACACGGACCCGCTGCTTCCACTCCTCCCGCCCACGGTGCCGCATCCACATCGCGTAACAACACCTAACAATAGATTTAAGTAAAAAAAGTTGTAATTTTTTATCCAGTTAAGAGTCATCAATCTGTACATTATCAATCGAATAATAAGTTGGCATCTCTTCTTAGTCGTGCAATTATTACTGTAGGTTGTGCCCATCCTAAAATTTTTTGGTACAGGAATAGGCTAGTTGACAACTTTTTTATTATTTCATAAATAAATAGTCCATTAACATCTGACAAATAATGTCGAAGTAACAGCATGTCTGCGATTAATAGTTTCGGAGATACGGTGCTGTGTTTGTAGAACTGCTGCTAGTTGGCCGAAAACGCTCCCTACAAATTCAAGGCACTCAGTGACGTCACACGGTGCTACAGTTGCGAAAAATGTATGGGCGTCTGGACATTTTTTGTAATATCTTTGTTATCTGTGCGTTTATGTTTATAGCTGTTATAATGAAAGTTGTAATATTTTTTATATCTAATTTAATGCCTTATGTATTTTAGCAAATTTTTGTAGTAGATTTTCTCTACTTTTTTCAAGTTTTCAAAGCGTAATATTTTCCAAATCAGTGACTTAAAATTTGTTTTGTTAAACATTTATAAGTTAAAATGGTTCATATTTTTCAAAGATATAACAAAAACCTGTATTTTCACTTGTAGGACACAAGCCTATTGTAATCTTTCTTTTCATAAGCCTGTCTGAGAGCTTTGGTTATAGTGAGCACCGTCACCGCTCGCACGGCGTCAAATCGGGTCGGTAAATGCGCTCGTAGTCTCTTTCCTTCTCTGTCTTGCCCGCTACATTAAATTTATCAAGACTATTTGGTAGTGTCCGAGCTATGTAGTCAAAGTTGCAAAGACTCCATTGATAGCTGATTGTATACAATGGTATAGATTGTGAGATAAATGGACATGAAAAAATTAAATTATAACAACACCAACGGATTTGTTGGTTGTTGTATTCATTTTAATAACATTTTTATTTTTATCAAAGTTTTAAAGTACCGCGAAAACCCAATAAAATGCTGAAAAAGAATCTTTCCTCTCACTGAATCTTGTGACTTTTTTCTTATTTACCTCACATTGTTTCTTAGCTCCCCAAATTGTTCCAGGTGCAGCACCGAACTTTTCATGTTGTAGTTCATTTGGAGTGTCTAGGTCATCTTCTCCATCTAGTAAACATGTCGCCCATCTGAAACCATTAGATGAAAGCAATATTTAGCAATGATATATCTTTTCTTAAGCTGTTATCTTAAGAGCTATTTGACAATTCGTTTATAATCTTAAAGTTGAACTTTTATTGATGACAGAATAAAGAATAAAGCAAAAAACTTTAGAAGGGAATCGTATAAGTTACTTCTGGGGAATGCTGTGGATTACATCATTTTAATAAAGTCAGGAGCACACATACTGTAAATCACTAACGACTCTCTTGCTACAGGGAGACCAGGAAGCTTCACCGTTTGTGCCTCTGGAAGGCGACATGATGAAGCCGTCGCGTGCGCAAGAATTACCCGTTCCGTCGTGGTGCATTCCCAAACTGAAAATAGCCCCAAGAATATGAATTAGCTCAAAAAATTATATATGAAATGGTACTGTCGTATATTAAAGCCCACTATTTTCGACCGCTGGACTGATTAATAGGGACAGAATATTGTAATGTAACTTTTTTCATTCGGGTTTTCAGCACTGCAGCGGTCGAAAATATTGGACCTTATTAGGCGACAGTACCTTATTTTTAAACTAGTTTATCTAATGATTAATTATTGGTAGCAAAATTTTAACAATTGTATTTGCTCTGAAACCTTTTCTTTAAATAACATACACTTGTTTTAAATATCACTAGCTGAGACAATTCCTCATCATCATAAAGTTGAAGATCAAAAACTAATTGAACGGCGGTTTAAATGAGAAGTGAGTCAAAAGTTGGTTTGTATAGAAAAACCTTTAAGATTGTAAATGATGATATAACAGACTTATGCCCGATCTCGTGTGCCAGAATGTAGACAGAGGTGAAGCCAGCGGAGGGATAGGGGCGGCCCATGAGGTCAGTAGTGCCGAATTCTGAGACGACGCACGCGTGCGCGGGCAGACACACGCCACCCACTGGCGCCAGGCCCATCGTCACACCGTTCCGCTGACCGCCCTCCTCCGAATAGAAGTCCAGTCTGTAACCATTACGAAGATAGACACGGTTTATGTCCTTCACACAACTCAATATACTCGTAGGTTAATGCGTACATTTCTTAATAAAGACAAAATTGCTTATATACTTATTTTTAATGAGGTCTTGTATAATTAATAATCGAATGTTCATTTAAATTAATAACATAGACTTACCCTGACAGCAGTAAAGCCATATCCCAATGTTGGGGGTCGTTATCATCTTCAACGTTGAGAGAGCGTTGGTATGCACAAAAACCGTCCAACAAGCGACCGCGCTCACCGTGAGCTGGCAACGACTGCGGTTGAGTGCGCAGTAACGTAAGGCGTACTAGAGATAGTTGGATTCGAGTGCCCAACGACGGGTGCTGATATAAAGCTTGGACCTGCAAAAACTTTGGTCATAAGAATTGCGTGAAAGAGTTAATACTGTTTACCTAAAAGCTTAATCTTCATCGGTTAATAAGATTTACCCTGATCTATTTTATTTATTTCTCTCTCGTCTAGATATGTAAATATAAAATTATTATATTTGATCAATTTTGTATTCATAATGCTATATTGAAAAATATTCTTAATGAAAAATGCTTAAAAATCCACTTTGCCCCTGGCAGTCGGAGATGGGACTCGAACCCATAACCTTTCGCAATCCGGGAGCCAGCTCTAATCACTGAGCGATCTAGGACCTAACAGCACTTGATACTTTTTCGCTACTACAGAGTGTATATTCATCAATGTTCAGGCAATCCTGGAGTGAACAGCCGAAAGAAATATTTTTACATAAAGACGAAAAGTCGTTCTAATTATTTGATCAATTTTACAGTCACAATGTTATAATGAAAAATGTTTAAAAATTCCACTTTGTTTAAAAACATAAACAATAAGAAATAAGTACTACTTACACCGTTTATATAGGCAAGTAACATATCTCTTAAATTTGCTTCATTGTAGTTAAGGAAGGGATAGAACAGCTTGTACGCGGCTTCATCTAAGAACAATGCTATTTCGATGGTGTAGCTGGAAGGTGGAGTTTTGTTGAACGATGCACGGGGCATACGGGCACGTGGCCGTGGTCTAAGTGGTAAGGCGTCATCGAGGGGCGGTGGTGGAGGAGGTGCACGTCTTATCACATGGGGGGTACGCCCACCACCATTACTTGCGCGGCGAGAACCCGCTCTCAGAGGTCTCACCTCGTATGTTGAATTGTCCACAACAATTAGTCCATGCTGAAAGCAATATTGATATACTTAAATGCCTAATATCGTATATTTCTATTTGCAAATAATAGTATTCTGTATTTAAAAATATCACAAAATTCATCTATATATGCTGCATTTCAATCCAATCAATCTTTATAAACTGCAGTTTCTTTAAAAAATTGCTCTTTGATGATAAGATTTTATATTTAATAAAAGATTTAAAACGTTTCTTATTGTTATCATATCAATTATGGTACTCAATTAAATTTTTATTCATTCAAACATTGGTCTTCCCAAAAAATATTTTTTTAATTTCAAGGATGACACTTAATTGTTTAATACTTAAATTCATATTTTTATTGACAACTGACGTCAGATTGATTCATAAAGGTAAGTATTTGTCGGCATACTTATTTAAAAAAGAAGTAGCGGGCTCAGCAAATCTTTTAGAGCCCTTTCGAAAAACACAACGTTAAGTTGCTCACAATAACCACACAATGAGAAATTAACGGACATATGTTAAAAATGGTAAGGCTCGAAGTATCAAGATGTTGAAAATTAGCCAGCAAAACATTCCTCCAAAATTTAAGTGTTCATGAACTCTTTTGTAACTTATGCTTTTATATTATCGTATAAACTCGGAAATAGTTAACTCTGTTTGGTCTGCATGCTCCAGTCATCACTAGAAAGTTCAATCTACCACTTCTTCCATTCGAAATTAATATGATCTCAATAATAATTGTACCTTAAATACTTTCCAAATCACACTAATCTATTTGATCCGATTGCACCTATCAAGAAAAATCAAAAAATTCTTGAAGGAAATCATTATTACTTGCCTTATTTCCCAATTTCATGAATAACTTTCATTTCCCCGACAATCTTATTCGGATTGATTTCCACCAAAACTATATTATTTGGTCAACAAATTGAACTTGTTAGAAAATTCGTCTCCGCGTCTGGAAAACTGTTTGCCGCAAACTCTCAACGGATGCAAAATCTTTTTGATTTTTATGATAAAAAAAAACATCGATCGGATCAACGTCAAGCGATTACAAACCTACAAAAACCAGGTCAAATATTTTATCCACATATCTGAATTTGTAACGGCTTGTCAAGGTTTGGCAAGCGTTCGAATGAGGCGTAGACAGTTTAAACTGCTTTCAGGATGGATTTGTTTGAATACCAATTTAAATTTGAATAGAAAAACTGACCAGATAGTGATCTCTGCAAGCAGACAGTGCTGCGACGGCGCCGGGTGCAGCGTTCAGAAAATGGCATGACGTATCCACTGCAGGCAGTGGCTCTTGCCCTTGCTCCGACCAAACACGGAAGTTAGTGGAAACTAACCGACGATTCGGCACCAGTTGTAGATTGAAACTTCTGGAAAAAGTAATATGTTTGGCCAATATAGCCCTTTTTAACCGTTTTCAAAAAATTAGGAGGTTCTCATTGCGACTGTATATTTTTTATGTTTATTTACAAAACATATCTGATTCTTTTTAAATTCGAAAGCTTGTGTTTGCCATGTGACCCCATTTAAATTTGTTCTAAATCAGATCAGTAGCTTTGCCAACAACTTTGATCTATACCTACTCTTTTTATGATGTACTAGTTAACGAGATTTAGAAACACTTAACGCCATTTAGTAATGAGGTGATGGCGTAACTATACCGTTTGAGGCCCGTGGCAAATTCATCGGATGTTCTGTATTTTTTACTAATTGTATAATAACAAATGTCAGGAGTAAGGATTCTCCTATGACCGGGGGCCCCTTTCAGCAGGAGACCCGTGGCATTTTGCCAACTTGTCACCCTGTAGTTACGCCACGGATTATGGTCTTCATCAGGTTTGCATCATCATCATCAGCCTTTTTACGTCCTCACTGCTTGGGCCTTCCTTATGGATGGTTAAGGAGGACGGGCCATGACCCTCCACGTTGGCCCAATGCGGATTGGAGGGTATTAACGACTGCAAATGCAGCCGGGACCAACGGCTTAACGTGCCTTCCGAAGCACGGAGTAGCTCGAGATAATAATTTTTTGGTCACCCATCTCGTGACCGACCCTTACCGCGGCGCTTATCCGCTACGCCACCGAACTACTCTGGTTTGTATAGTATTCCTTTATAAAGAAAAAGTAGTAAGTTATCAATCACCCGGTAAAAATTAAAACTGTGAATTGAATGCACATTAATTTACCAATACGGCAGAATAAAATAATGTATTAGGTTACACACTCAACACACATTGTAGTTTAAAATTTGTAATCATACCTGGCTTTATATGTTCATCGAAAAATTCTCAAAATTCATAATGCTCTACAAAAAATAATCAAATAACAACAGCATTTTTAGTATTATTATAAATAAACAATTCAGTTGAGCCACAACACGGTTTATATATAGAGGTAGTATTAGCAGAGGCAACCTTGCTTGCTGAGCAAATCGTTTCAAAGAAATTGATAATTTTTATAATAGCTTTAATAATGATATAGATGAACGCTTTGTATTTTTTATTAGTTTAAACTTTATATTTAGAGACATTTTATAAGATATTATTCGCCGACATTAGCTGTTGTTCTCAGCCCACATAAATTAAAAGCGACTGATCGCGTGAAAATAATTCTAATAAAATTTATGCAGAATTTAATTCTTCACAACTTCCCAATAGACGGTAACACCATTGGTATAATAGAAAACGAGATAAAAGCGAAAATAATTGTAATGCAGCTTACAGGGAACGGTCAGCGACTTTGTTTTTTGGTATGTATAGATACCTATATAGCTACTTATATAGCTACTTATATACCTTGTGATCTAAGAAGTAAACTAATAATTGACCTTGTATAAATCATCTATTAAGATGTTCAATTATGCGGTAGAGCCTTAGAGGTGGCACCGCCTAAATCTCTATTTATAGGTACAAAGACTTGTCAGCTAACAGACTGAAATCCAAAACGCCAACAAGTTGGAATTATGAAACAAAAATTTACAACATTCATTTATTAAATATTAATAATTAAAAAAAAAACCTTTACCAAATACAAAGTCAGTCGGGCGATCTAATATTGCGTAATAATAATAAAAAAAACTAATGAATCTAATGAATTATCTATGCCATAGGATAAAACATCTTACCGAACTCATGACGATATTTCGTTTCATTTTATTATTTGACATGTTCTTTGTTAACAAAGAACGAACGATCAAGAATTATGATTATAGATTTGATAGCAGTGTTGGTAACACTTGGTCATTTATCCCAAAATTATCCACCAAACGACATGTCAAAATAGTAACATAAAACAAAATATCGTCATGACATTGCTAAGATCCAATGGCTAGAATCAAGGTTTGAGACTTAGGCGGTCGCTCTGCAGCTCTGCATCTTAAGTATTTAGATATTATATACAATAAGCTATTGAACAAGTTTTAACTGTCTCAAACACCTCGAAAAATCTATCAACTCTTCGACTATTAAATTGAATTATTTACGGGATTGCTACATTGTACACTGTCTTTAATGATTACCCGATTTTTTCGGTACTATTGCAAGCGCCATGATGACGTATTTACTACATAATAATAACTATTTTAATGAGTTGTAAAGAAAATCGTTTAGCTTTCCATTCAAATGTTTTTCGACACATAAGGGGTTCAGTAGTAATTTTGTTTCCGTTACATATCATGTCAATTTGACGATCTCCATAGCCGAGTGGTTCGCACACCGGTTTTTACTGTGTCGGTTTCAAGGTGTCGCCATCTCCGAGGTCACGGGTTCGATTCCCGGTCGGATCAACGTAGAAAAAAAAATTCTATATTGTCTCGTATCTGAGTGATGTTGTTCCAGATTTACTTAATACAACTGAGAAACGTATGTGTTGGTGTTAATTATTTATTTATTTACCATTAAGTATTTTTCATGTCTATTAACTTTTAGTCAACTGAAATCTTCCTGGCATGTCTGAAATTTCAGAAGTTCGATTTTGTCTCATTCTCAAAATATACAAATATTATTCAAATTAGATCAAAAAAATATTATCTCGAGCTACTCCGTTCGGAAGGCACGTTAAGCCGTTGGTCCCGGCTGCATTTGCAGTCGTTAATACCCTCCAATCCGTAATGGCCAGCGTGGAGGGTCATGGTCCATCTTCCGTATCGATCAATAAGAAAGGCCTGAGCCCCTGCAGTGGGGTCATATAAGGGCCGGTGATGATGATGATTATTAATTTTGCGAAAAACTTGATTCGCTAATCATTCATCAGCAATCATTAGCCAATTTTCAGTACCTCCCAAAGGCATCAAAGCTGTACGGCAATGGAACTTCATCGTTGACCTTGTCCGCAGAGAGTTGTGCTTCCCGCGGCAGTAGAGCTGGTAAGTAAACCACCTGTACGTCTGAGTTATCGTTGTCGTAGTTTGTTCCACTGTTCTCCGCCCCCCACCATCTGTGCGTGGGGATGAAATCCTGCAAATTACCACAAATAAAAATTTTAGGTCGCATGGAGATTAATGTTGGACGTAGCTAACTATTATTATAATCTGATTCCTGACTACAGTTACAAGTTGTTAACTGCAAATCGTTAATTGTAAAGAGTTATGATGACATGTAAACTATTTACCAAATTTCTTAAAGTAATCAAGTAGTTTATAATCTACCTTGTTTCATAAATAAATATACGAGGGTCAAACTGAAAGTTCTTAGAAAATCAAAAACTGATTACATTAGCCAGTTATTAGTTTTATGATATCTTTTCAAAATATTGTCCATTCACGTCAATACACCGCTGCATGCGATGGAACCACTGGGAAAAGCACTTTGCCCACTCGTCCTTAGGGGTCTCTTCAATGGCACCGCGATACGCAGCCACCGCTTCTTCAGCATTCATAAACCGCTTTCCTTTAAGTTTTTCTTTAATTTTTGGAAATAAATAAAAATCACAAGGCGCGAGGTCGGGGCTATACGGCGGGTGACCCAGTAATTCAACGTTTGATGTCGCCAAATAGTCGATCGTTCGCTTGGCGGTGTGCGACGAGGCGTTGTCGTGGTGAAGGAGGATCCTACTGCGAGGTCGTTTCTCTCGAACTTTTTCCAGGACAAGTGGCAAACAATTGGTAGTGTACCATTCTGCAGAAACTGTTTTTTGATCCTCTAACACAATTGTTGCAAAATGACCTATCCTTCCAAAGAACGAGGCCACCATTTTTTTTCCCGCACTTCGATCTCTCTTCACTTTAGTTGGCAACTCCTCGAAAGGAAACACCCACTGAGCAGATTGTCTTTTGGTTTTAGGATCATAACAGTAAATCCAGCTTTCGTCACCTGTTAGTATGTCGAACACAGCATTTGAGTCACCTCCGTTAAATCTTTCAATCATTTTACGACACCAATCCACACGATGGAGTTTTTGAGCCTCAGTCAAATTATGAGGTATCCACCGGGCGCAAAGCTTCCTGACCGCTAAATGTTCGTGGAGGATTTTGTGCACTTGACTCATACCGATGCCTAAGCTTGTCCGAATCTGTTGATAGGTCACTCTTTTGTCAGTCTCTATCATACGCCGCACAACACAGATGTTATCTTCAGTCGTCGCCGTAGAAGGCCGTCCCTCACGTAAATCATCAGTGAGATTAGTGCGACCACGTTTAAACTCATTAAACCAGTTGTAAACAGTCGCACGAGATGGGGCTTCATCGTGAAAGGCCAATCGTAGTCTATCATAACTTTCTTGTTGACTTAAATGACATCGAAAGTCATAAAAAATCATTGCACGAAAATTTTCTCGTGTTAAATTCATGATGACGTGACACAGACAATTTTCAATTTGCCGCCAAATCGTAAAACAAATGACAAATGAATGAAATATATACTCAGTAATATTGGCAAAGAGTTATATTTTCAAATTTTAGAATTATTTTTTTATTATATTGTTTATAAGTGGCCAGTTCTAAGAACTTTCAGTTTGACCCTCGTATATAGAAATTAACTTTTGGTAATGCAAAAAAACACTTAAACCACTACTTTATATATATCATTACCGCCAATCTTTCACTTTGTGACAGTTAACCAAACCTCTCTACCTACTCTGCGATTACTTCATGAAATCGTTAGTTACGATTACTAACTACAAAATGCAGCCATAGTCAGTAAATACTGAATAGGTTACCTGCATTTTGCTGATATATAAGAGATAGGACTACCCATAACTAAAAATACCCCTACGGAGTAGTATCAATGAACACACGACGAATTGAATTTGTTGCAGTTGAAGTGATCCATCAAGAAGCGACAGTCGGTCATGACATTGATATTCTTTTAGCCACGACGCGACGCAATACGCACATTCTGCCGAATTGACGAGATCATCACCTTTTTGCCGGGGATACACGGCGCTAGTTTTTCAAGACAGGACAAAAAGATATACTCTCTATCTTCATTCCACTAGTTTGAGCTGTCCGTTAATAAATCAGTCAACCAATTTTCTAATTTTACTTTAAGTGAAGATTCTGGTTTCTAACTTCAAAAGTGGCGGACTTCTCTCTCTTCGGTATAAGATTTGAACAAAGACTAGAGCAGGTAAATTACTCATTTATAATCAGAAGCCCAAACATAAGTTTAATGTCTCTAATATCAAATACGAAAGGTACTCCAAACAAACTTTCAACGTTTAGAGGTTTATATTAAATAAAAGCTTAAGTAATTCATTAGCCCAAAAATAAAGTTTCATGTTTCTAACTTTAAACTGACGGACCTTCATACAAACTTCCATCAACTTTTATTATCTTTTGAAGTAGATTTTATTTGATTTAACTTATAATACTGTGTCAGTGCTATGTTCAACGCTGCTGATCTGTCTCCTTACTGGTTTTATTAGTAAATTGGGAATTCTTAATACAATCAAAAGAATTTATACAAGTTCATATACGTAAATTACGCAATCGTTACAAGTAAAATTAGTCATAGGTATTCTTAAAAAAAAATGTCACTTTGGCATGACTTTTTGTTTTAGTTTAAGTCCATAATTTGGTTACGTTATGTAAACGGTTAAAAATTAAAACTAGTTTATCATAACATAATTTTTTAATGTTTTTACTGATAAAATAGTGTCAAAATAATTAATAACTTTAAATTTTCATTCACATTTGTTTGGAAATTGTTTATGAAAACACGAAACAAAATTCGTTTATCTGTCACGAATAATTCATAAGTTTTACAGTTACAATTCGCTATTACTTTTTTATGTTAAATGCTCAAAAACACTTGTGTTATGGAGGATATTCGATAAAAATGAAAACAGGTTTTTCTTCAGCAAATATCATGTCAAATATGTCAGTTTTAAGTACTCAGTGTTTATCGTTATCTAATATGTAATAATATGTATAAAATATATGCGCCGGTTGTGTATGTCGGGTTGGAAAAAGTTACCGACCCGGGCCTACGATGAAATTAGTCACCGAAACTAACATAGGTACCTAAGCATTTGAAATAAAGTAGGCAAATGTTATGTATGATAGATATTTACATTTGTTGCATGTCATTATGTTTAGAAAAACAATGTGTAAGTATAATTACCGTTGTTTAAAACACTTTTATCCGTGTTAAGCAGAAGTTGTATATATTTTAATCTATGCCTACTAACACACGAAAATAGTTTTCATTTGCCCGGTATTAGGTATAATTAGGCGCATATTTTTCAGGGATATATTTTTATTTTAATTGAATAATGAATAACAATATTTTATTGGTAATTTTTTAATGCTCTTCATGAACAATACATTTCATAAACTTAATTGACTGTATTATAGTTCTTAGTGTACTAATACTAATGGATTTCTTTCCATAATCCTTTGGCTAATGTAACTGAATTTTTGTTAAAGCTTTCGGCTACACTTCAATTACTTTACGAAGTTCATCCCTAAATTTATTAATTTATTATTGTATCCACTTAACGCAGGGCCGCCACATCTGCAAATCGGGCCCGGTACCAGATTCTGGCCACCCCCCCCCCTTTTTTTTTCGTCGCGCCACTTTTATTAGAGAGCCATCTCTAGTATATAGATAGCCAAATGATAATTGTTAAAAAACTATTAAACCTTCTCTAACTCTACTTCTAACCAAACAATAAATGATTTATATCTCCTACCAAGGTTCAGTGTTCGAATAAGAACACTTGAGGGGACTGAACTCTTACTTCACTACGTTTTATTCTACATTTAATTTAATTTTAATCAAATAAATAAAAGAAAGTAAAGATTAAAAATTCAAGTATTCATAATACCAACCAATTATTTAATTACCAACCAATTACAAAACCATAAAAATGCCATAAATTAGCATGAAACGAAAATTCTATATGCAATCAGTCATAGGATTTTTATTTTAACTACTTTAAATACAATTATTGGTGAATAGACGGCGTATTCAGAGAAGTTCCAATTTACTAATTCCTCATAAGTACGATTGTGGCAGAAATTATGATTGACTAAATTTTATATAATCAATAATTAACACATATAATTAACTTTATTTTAATGTTATGGACGGATTAAAAAGGAAAGTCTCTGTATACAAGATGGCTGAAGGAATTAGTTGAAACAATGATTAAATCAAATATAATCTTATCAGGGCCCGTCAAGTGTTTTATATAGGCCTAAAAATTCTAAAATACTTTATTTACTAAATACAGGACCAGGATACAACAGTACCCACTGCCCCCCCCCCCCCCATTTGGCGGCCCTGACTTAACGAGCACTCAAATACGTACAAAACCACAACAATGTTACATTACTTCACAAAAAAATTACTCAACCTTTATTTTTACATTTTAAACATTCAAATTATAACCCCAAACATGGCAAGTGGTTTGCTTTTCATTAAGCGTATCACACGAACAGTTGGTGCTATTAGTTTACATTTTTTGTAATAATGAATGAATGAATAAACACTTTATTGTATTTGAAAAGAAAAATCAACAATTAATAATATTCCACCGACAACATTTACGGCAGCCTCTTTCGATATTAACCCCTCCATTGCCACCGTAGAGTCCCTTTTGCGAAACAAAATAATAAGAAAAGTCACAAATATAAGAAAACATCTCTTGTCACAAGATAAGCGTTTTCATTAAAAATAACGATTAATCAGTATTCAATTTAACAGTTAAAAGTCTATCAGAGGCCGAACTGTCTAAATTTAAAATTAATCTCTTTTAATTAGACATTTCAATTATATTCACGAACTTCACGCTAAAAATTTAACATGTGTTAGCGATTGGGATCACGAATTTTTTTAATATATTAAATGCATGATATCCTTAATACAACGTTAATTGGAATTGTCTAAGGCAATCGTTAGACGTATATGACTTTAAGTTTTAGTAACTAAGTTTTTATTACGTCACATAATAATTCAAATCATCATTTGTTCCGTAAGAGACTACAACTTTAAACGTTACATAATCCCAAAAATTTCTATCAGAATCGCTATAATTTGGAAGGGATTGCAATATATTTTTAAATGAGACAGTTAGACCACTGGTCATTTTTATATATGTTAATTAGTTTATTTTATATAGCCAAATATTTGAACAGCGTGACGCATACGATTTCTAAAGAGTGCTACCTAAATAGTTATCATTTGCTCTACCCACTACAGCCTGATTAAATTGGCTCATTGAGGATTACTCAGCCCATGTTTATTCGTGATAGTTTGGAGATTTAATCAATGTAGGTATCAGGGACGCTTACTTGTATTCAGTGAAGCGATGATGAATGCTAACGATCGAGGTCACCCAGGACGCAACACGACGGCACAGCTTAGAGCCTGTTCGACATTACGCGCATATTTATCATGTATCGTCGTACATTTCGCGGTAGCAAGGCCCATTGTTCCACACGAATACAATGTTAGCATCATTGAACTTGAAATTGAGACTTTTTGCAATTAATTCGCTTCTCTATGGATGAGGTTACTGGTGTAAAGCGCGTCTCGCGACAACGACACGCTCGAGCTGTCTGACGCACGCATGATTATTATAACTCTTATAAAATTAACGTGGGAACATTCAACGGGCACATTACATTTTATTGGATCTTACTTTAAATGAGTATTTCATGCGCGTTCTAATACTATTCATCATTGAAACTTATTTCAGTCTAAGTTGATAATTCGATAGTCTTTGTTACATCTCGGGGCAGTCGCAGGGTTAGCTGAAAGTTACCATATCAAATTAAATCTCGAGTATCTGAGACGGTGTAACTATTTTAAATATTTTTCTATAAGATATTGTTGTAACTAACAAACAAGTAGAAATTTGGAAATAATCGCTGTATATTATCTATATAAATAACACTTTAATATTTTTAATGAAAAATGCTTTAAAAATCCAAGCCTCAAGTACCCCAAGGTGGGACCCAAACCTACAACCGCTATCCGGGTCACTGCTCTTACCGTTGAGCTACCCGAAACCCAAATTAGGACTGACGTTATAATTTTTGTTATATGTATAGTTAAACCTTAAAAAAAGTGAATAATATACTTATCTCGAAAGCGACTTATTCTAGAAAATACTATTCGAGCGGAAAAGTCATTCGGAGGTTTTCTGTAGGTTATAATTAAATGATGACAGGCGTCCGACTTCAATAGCATTTTCTTGAATAAGTCGCTTTTGAGATATGTATTATTTTTCATTTTTTTTTAATTTGTAATCGGTTCTATTTTTTTAAGATTTTATTTCATGCTTTTTTGTAATATTGATATTATTTATATAATAGGTAACACTAAAAATACTTTTCTGAA